AGGTGGGGCAGTTTCCAGGTGGCTGGTGGGGACGGGTTGGGGGTGAGTTTATGGTTGGTTTACCCTTTGTGTGCTCTTACGAACGGTATTAGTGAGGTGGATTTGGTTAAATGGAGGGAGGGTAAGGGGATCGGGTGTTTTGTTATGTGTATTTGTAGTGTTCATTGTTGTTGGGCAAGCTGCGAATTTTAGCTTAGTACATTTACCCATCTCACACACCTTAACTCCGTCACTCTCACCCATAGTCAAGCATCAAAAGAAAAGAAAAAAATTGTGAAACCATCAAATCAGTCTGGAATTTTTTTTTTCGTCAATCGACTCGCTATAAAACCTCATAAAAGAAAGACTATCATCATCATAAGACGATGCGCGTAGCGCCCGTTCCAATCGTAACCAAGCTCCCTTTGCTTGCTCCAAGTTTCCACCCCGCCTTTGCCAACAAACTTTGTTTAAGCCTGCTTGCCCTGAAGAGCCTGGTGGATAGTGAAGCCATCAGCGATGGCGCCGATGCCGCCAGCAACTCCCTCTGCGATCTTGCCAATGACATGGCCCTTTCCGCGGTTCTGGGGGTCACGCTTGGCCTTCTGGCCCGGGAGGAGTTTTTTGATGTGGCCGGGCAGAGCAATAGGGTCGATGTTGATACCGGCGTTGAAGCCAAAGCCGGCATCGGTTTGGGGGTCACGCTTTCCAAGGGGGGAGCCCAAGTGACTACTGATAACTGGTAATAGCTTGTTGCGTACCAAGTCGAGATTTGCTGCGTTACGGAAAGGACGGGTTAGCTGGGCATCACGCCTGGTCTTTTGACCTGGGAGGAGTTTCTTGATGTGGCCGGGTAGAGCAACAGGGTCAATAGTAACGTCAGCGTCGAAGCCAAAGCCGGCGTTGATTTGGGGATCGCGCTTTCCAAGGGGGGAGTCCAAGTGACCACTGGTAACGGGTGTTAGGTTGGGAAGTAGCAAGTCGTCATTTGCTGTGTCACGGAAAGGGTGGGTTCTCTGGGGATCACGCTTCTCCTTCTGGCCAGGGATGAAATGCTTGACTTTATCGGCGATAGAAGAAGGGATGGTGACTCCAGCATTGAATCCAAAGCCGGCATCGATGGGCTGGGGGTCACGC